ACTTCCAAAAAAGTTCCTACTTAAAATATTGCAAATATCCTTCATATAGTCAAAGATGCACTCATTCTATCACCCTCCAAGAAAGTTACCACATCCATCTGTCCATTTCTAAGTCCAGAACCTTTAGTTTATATCCAGTCCTTTGCAATTTGTAGGCTAAATAATGAACTTTACCAACAATAGCACACCCTACATACAATAGTGAAATAGAGGGCAAGAAAATAAAAATTAAGACACATAAAAGTGTACATGATACTCTTCAAGAAAGGAAGCACAAGATACCAGCTCTCATTTCCTCCCCTGATCATGAGGACTTCACCACCCTTCATGACTTCTTTCTCCACCAGCCATTCTGTGTTCCCTTTACCTTCAGCCAGTAACTTCATTGCTAAGGAATCTGTGTATTTGATAGAACTATGTGTTTAAAGGTATAAAGCGCAAACCTCTTTCTGCTTGATGATAGGGTGACTCACTCCAGCCAATACCATAACCTTGTTCTTCTTTTCCTCTCTTAGTCTCTCCAAGTGACACAAGACACACAAAATGGTTAGATGCCAGTCTCACCCCCAAATCAATGGAACCGTTTCTCAACCTTTGTTAGAAGAATTCCTTTCTTTTTTTTTTTAAAAAGATTTTACTTATTCATGAGACAGACAGAGAAGAGAGAGAGAGGCAGGGACACAGGCAGAGGGAGAAGCAGGCTCCACCCTGGGAGCCCGATGTGGGATTCGATCCTGGGTCTCCAGGATCACACTGGAGCTGGGCTGAAGGCAGTGCTAAACCGCTGAGCCACCAGGGCTGCCCCTAGAAGAATTCCTTTCTTTGGTAACAAACTTCTAAACCAACAAAACCCAGAATCTCAGAGACTGGCAGTTTAAAAAAAAAAAAAAAGTCCTTTAATATCCCTTTGTTCCTAAATCCATTAATTTTGCATATGGAAGCCTGATAGTTTTAAAACATATCCACAAACTCTTTAACACTTCTCCCATTAAGAAAAGGAGTCTCCTTTGATATAACCAGCCTTAATGACTAAGTCCTAATGAACTGAATGTGGTTTTGAACTGACACTACAGGACTTCCATTGTTGGTTTAGAAAGGCATTATAGTTTCCATCCTGATTTCTCTGGGGATGTTTTGCCCTTGGAATCCAGCTACTATGTTGTGAGGAACCAAATAGCACTGTGGAAAGGCTACAAGTAGGTGTTCAGCATCAGTCCCCAGACATATAAAAGAGTGAAACTGTAGATGATTTTAGCCCCCAACTTTTTGGCTGTCCTAGCTGGCATCAAGTGGAAAGTGGAACAGAGATAAACCATCCTGAGTCCTGCACAAGTTATAGATTTGTAAGCAAAGTAAATGTTGTAGTTGTTTTAAATCACTAAGTTTTGAGGTAGTTATACAGCAATAGACAGCAAAGACATGAAAGAAAAGTTCCAAATATTGGACACTAGTTCAAAGCCAATGCTGCAAGAAGGGTTATATCCCAGAAGGCATCATAACTAAGTCTTCAATAAGACATATGCTTCTTGGTGATAAACAGTACAATTAGACCAATGAATTCTATGGGCAATAGCCCATTGCATTACTTCTTTCATTACAGATGAGTTCTTGGTCAGAAGCTATATGGTGTCAGACACAATGACTGTGTATAAAACAGTCAATAAATCCCCAGCACAGCAAGCAAGGAAGCAAATCTAAATCTAGAGTAAACATATTTCAGAGAGGACAAATAATTATTCTCTCTCAATAGTTGGGTGGGACCAAAGGAATTGACTTGCCTCCATGTGATTGGCTGGTTCTCCTGGAGCAGGGGGTATCTCACCAATTCAGAATTGGTCATTGTTGCTGGCAACCTCAACACTCAACAGTGGTTTAGTGATCATAGGCATAGTTCCAATCCTGCTATCAATTCCATTTCATTCATGATTCCACTGAGCAAGCACTGAGCCTGGAAAAGGAGGCTGAGTTTCCTCCCAGAGCAGTTCATTTCATCCATAGGATTTATAAGATTCATTCTGCTAGGTCCATCAGCATATCCCCTCCCAAATATTCCTTGTCATCAGTTTTCCAATCTTGCTCTTTCCAATGTCCTTGACCACCTGGCCAAACAATTAGCCTTGCACCATGAATTATTACCCAAGGCCAACTCTCCTTTCAGGCAAAGTGAACTTCAAGACACACAAGGCTACACATTAAAAGGACTTCATGACTTCAGTGTTCTTCAGGTCCAAAGTGGGACCCAAACAACCTCACAATCTATTTCTGGCAGGTACCGCCATATTGTGCAGAGCAACAAACCTGAACAATAATGCCTGGCTCATCATGGGCACTCAGTAGTCATTTGTTGAATCATTCTTTTACAATGCAAACCAAAACTGGAATTTAAATAAACATTAGGAAGAAAAAAAATGCTATCATTCCCCTCCCCCTCCTGTTTAAATTCCTTCCCTCTCCTGTTTAATTTCCTTCACCTGTGTGGCTCAGTGGTTGAGTGCCCGCCTTTGGATCAGGTCTTGATCCCCGAGTCCTGGGATTGAGTCCCACACCAGGCTCCCCATGGGGAGCCTGCTTCTCCTTCTGCCTCTGTCTGCCTCTCTCTACATGTCTCTCATGAATAAATAAATAAAAATCTTTAAAAAAAAAATTCCTTCAACAGCTTCCTATTGCTCTAACAGACCCTGCTGGGTGTGGCCTCTGCCTCTTCCTTCCCCTTGTTCTCTGAACTCTAAGCATTGGTCTTTAATTCTTGGAATGTTCCATGCTCCCTCCTGCCACAAGACCTTTGCCCAGACTGTTCCCTCTCCTTACCAAATTAACTCCATCCTCAGATCTGGACTCAAGGATTCTTTCCTGTCTTATAACCATTTTTCTTCACTGTACTTAATTCCATATTCATTTATGTGTTTAATTAATTCCTGTCTTATTCTGGGACTCTAAGTACTATGATTATGTGCACTCACCACTGGATCCCCAGCACCTAATATATTGCCTGGCACTTAATAGATGCTAAATAGTATTTTATTGAATGAATACATGAATAAATGAATGAATGTGTCTGTAAGAAAATGTAGTATACGTAATTTATCTACAAGTTATCACTGCCAATTTTGCTTAAAGCTTTCTGCTATCAGTTCCCACTCCTCTAATTTACAATTCTTTATTAATTTAAAAAAGCATTTGTCTGGCTCTATACTAGCACAATACAGTAGAAACATGGGAGCTACATATATATCTTCAAATACACCATCGGCCACATTATAAAAAGTTAAAAGAAATATCTTACTATTTTATTTGACCAGTATTTCCAAGACATCATTTCAAAGTGAGATCAGTATAAAAATTATTAATATTTTTACATTCTTTTCTTTAACCTCTCTTTGAAATTTGGTATTTTAATTTCATCATATCTGTTTGAACTCGATATATATATATATATATATATATATATATTTTAAGATTTTGTTTATTTATTGGAGACACAGAGAGAGAGGCAGAGACACATGCAGAAGAAGCAGGCTCCTCACCTGGAGCCTGATGAGGGACTCCATCCTGGGACCTGGGATCATGCCCTGAGCTAAAAGCAGATGCTCAACCCCTGAGCTACCCAGGTGCCTGTATTTCTTTCTTTTTAAAAATATTTTATTTGAAAGAGAATGAGAGGGAACACAAGCAGGGGGAGTGGCAGAGGCAGGCTCCCCACTGAGCAGGGAGCCTGATGTGGGACTCCATCCCAGGATCCTGGGATCATGACCTGGGCCCAAGGCAGAGGCTCAACTGACTGAGCCACCCAGGTGCCTCAGACCTAGCTATATTCCAAGTGCTCAGTAGCCACAGGTGCCTAGTTGATCCTGTACATGACAGTGCAGTTATTTTTTTTTAATTTTTATTTATTTATTTATGATAGGCACACAGTGAGAGAGAGAGAGAGAGAGAGGCAGAGACACAGGCAGAGGGAGAAGCAGGCTCCATGCACCGGGAGCCCGCCGTGGGATTCGATCCCGGTCTCCAGGATCGCGCCCTGGGCCAAAGGCAGGCGCTAAACCGCTGCGCCACCCAGGGATCCCCTGACAGTGCAGTTCTATAGAATTCACTCTCACAAGGAGTCTGACCGTCCTTGGCACCTATAATTAGTGCCAGGAAAGCATCCTGAAGTCGAATTTTCATCCAGATCTAACTGTTCCAGTATAACAGGCGATTTAAACCAGGTATTAGCCCCCAACTCCTCCAGGATTCATTGACTTAAAAACTTGTCTCTAGAAACAATTTTAATGTTCATCTTCCTATCACATCCTTTTATCTCGTATTCAAATAGAAACTTTGCATCTCCTGCAGGTATTGGGCCACCTTCTTTGCAAACCCTTCTATTTCTCCTTTAAAGACAATTTATCAAATTCTCCGTTTTTAGGAACTTCATGGCAAATCTGTATGTTCCCTGGGCTGCCCAGGAAAGTTGGGGCGGGGTTGAGGGGTGTCTAAGTCTCCCACTTGCAGCATCCAGTTGTGTGTGTGTGTGTGTTTTAATATTTTATTTATTTATTCATGAGAAAGACACAGGCAGAGGGAGAAGCAGGCTCCATGCAGGGAGCCCGACGTGGGACTGGATCCCCGGCCTCCAGGCTCATGCCCTGGGCGGAACGAAGGCAGGCGCTAAACCGCGGGGCCACCCAGGGACCCCCAGCATCCATTCTTTTAGCGTCTTCATTAAGCCTGCCTGGACCCCTGCAGGAGGCACCCCGGAGAGCAGCACAACCCATGGTTTCAGACCACAGAGCTGAAGTCGAACTGCTCCGTCGGTCTGGAAAGCGGCCGTCTCTCCGCCAGCCCTATACACCGCAACGGCTTTTAGGTGCTTCTCCCTCACCTGCGAGCCACCGGCCAGAGCCACAGACAGCATCAGCCACACGTGAGCGAGCAGCTCGACCGCGGTTTCACCACCTGCCCTTGGCTAAAGGGGAAGAGGAGGGACATCCGCCCGGTGGGAGACGCTTCCGGAAGTGACGTAGGAGTGTCAACATGCAAGATGGCGGCCCATCACCGGCAGAACACGGCAGGGCGGAGGAAAGTGCAGGTATGGGAGTCCCGCTCCTCGATCCCCCGGACGCGGCCTGCCGCCCGGCGCCCACCTCCGGCTAACAGATGCCTCGAGCCGCGGTCGGCTAGGGTAGCGGCGTGGGGCTAGCGGGACGGGGCGCGGCCGGCGGCGAGGGGTGGGGCCGCGGCGCTAACGGCTTGAGGAAGGGGCGGGGGGCGCCTGGCTGGGCCCTCCGGGGGCCCTGTCCCGGGACCCTAGGGTGAGCGGTTCCGAGGTCGGGCTTGACCGACCCTAGCTCTCTGGCAGCCTTGAGTTTGCGGGATCTGGATGGACTCGTTTCCCGCCCACCTGCCTCCTCCTTCCCTTGCTTTTCTCCCTGTCCGCGTCTGAGCGGAGGCCTGCGGACACTTCCCCGGCGGGCCGGCAAAACGCCTGTGCGGGGGCGTGGCGGGGCGGCGGGGCGCAGAGGGCCCTGCGGGGTTTCTGCGGAGGATGCGGCACGTGGGAGCCCTCCGCTTTTTTTTTTTTTTTTTCCGGAAGCTTTGTCCCTTTGAGATGGAAACGACGTGGGAGTGTGCTGGTGTTAGTGGGGAAATTATTTTTATTAATTTTTTTCCTCTTCGTTGTGCATCCTCGATTCTTTCTTTTCAGTTTCTAAAGATCTATTATCCAAGGGTAAAGAGTTATCTAACCCTTCTGTGTGTTCTTTCTTTATGCCTTCGTGAATCCACCTTTATTTGGGATACCATCAAGAGTTAGTGCTGCCTATTATTTTCAGCGGTGCAAGGAGTAAAAGCCCTATTACAGCTGTTTGCCTGCAAGTATATTGTATATGGGAGCCAGTGACTGTGCATCTGTTCATTAAGCGTTTACTGAGCACTTAGTTTAGTCACGAAGATATGCAAAAAATTGTGACAGTATAGGAATAAAGATCTCTTTATGAAACACAGCATTATATGTAGTTCTACAGGTGGAAATAGTTTGTTGAGTAGGTAAACAGGACAAAGTGATCCTTCAGTCAGGTAACCCCAGCAATGGCTGTAGGCCACTGTCTTCTGGGCAGTTCACTTACTTGTTTTATTGATATCATTGATCACTACAATGTCCCAGGCATTCACTAGGTATCTTTGAATTGAGTGAAATTAATAAGAATCTAAAATAGCTTACCCTGTTAGGTGATTTTTAAGTACATCAGTAACACAATCCCAGCATCCAAGCCAGGTGGGTGAGAATGTGTGCTGTGCACTAAAATGTAAATCAAAATTGTCTTAATTGTATTATAGACACTAGAGTGGTACACTCCTTAGGTAGTAAGGAGAGTTAATCAGGCATTCAGTTTCTTGCATTTAAATTTAAAAGGCCATATAAAAGTATAAGATGAGGAAATGTAAATTCACCACAGTGTGTATGGAAAAATTGAGTTTTTTAATAGCTGAATGTGAGCCATTACACGTTGAATGAGGGAAATAATTCCATTCTTTCCTGGTCAGAGTACAAAACTAGTTTGGGGTTCAGCACTTAGTACGTTGTTCTTGATAGGTCTAACAATCAGATTGGTCAAGTAACAATTTCCTATGAAGAGTGTCAAAAGAAGTAAGATTAGCCTCTGAAGAGAAGATTCAGTAAATCGGGCAGCCCCAGTGGCGCAGCGGTTCAGCGCCACCTGCGGTCAGGGTGTGATCCTGGAGATGGGGGATCGAGTCCCACATCGGGCTCCCTGCATGGAGTCTGCTTCTCCCTCTGCCTGTGTCTCTGCCTCTCTCTGTGTGTGTGTGTCTCTTATGAATAAATAAATAAAATCTTTAAAAAAAAAAAAGATTCAGTAAATCTTGTTAGCTGCTTTCAGAATTTGTCCCCAAGGTATAGGACCAACCTGAGAAGCTACGGAGATTGATTGTATCTCAGTGTGAGAGAGAACTTAAAAAAATATATATATATGTATATATATATATACTTTTTTTATTAGACTTCAGTTTGCCAACATACAGCATAACACCCAGTGCTCATCACCCAGTTACCCCAAGCTCCCACCCACTTCCCCTTCCACTGCCCCTTGTTCATTTCCCAGAGTTAGGTGTCTCATGTTTTGTCACCCTCACTGATAGTTTCACTCATTTTCTCTCCTTTCCCTTTATTCCCTTTCACTAATTTTTACATTCCCCAAATGAATGAGAACTTTTGTTTGTATCTCAGTGTGAAAGAGAACTTTTGTTATGGAAGTGTTTTTCAAACTAATGCACAAGTTAGTGCAAAAAACTCCACAAACAATACAAAGGTAAATAATAATTGTCCTCTACTCTTCAAAGATTGCTACTGTAGATGATGTGATATATAATCCTAGACCAGTTTTTTGTTTTGTTTTGCTTTTTGTTTGTTTGTTTGTTTTTTTTTACTCTGAGCACTGTTGGCATGTTGGGCTGCGTGATTCTTTAGGGGGGTGGGGAGAGTCTTATGCATTATAAGTTGTTTTTCATCATCCTGGCTTCTGTCTACTAGATATTAGCATATCCCCAGTGTTGACCAAAAATAACTAGATACTTTTCAAATGTTTGCTAGGGGGTAAAATTGCCCTTGGTTGAAAACCAATGTTCTATACCTTTTGTGCATGTGTACCAACTTACGTGATTTTTTTTTCTTTTTTACGCTACACAAAGTCATAGTATATATTGTTCAGTATCTTGCTGTTTGTCAAAATTTTAAATACACATTCCCATTGACCAAACAATTCCTCATCTAAAAAATTGTTTTAGGGATCCCTGGGTGGCGCAGTGGTTTAGCGCCGGTCTTTGGCCCAGGGCACCATCCTGGAGACCGGGGATCGAATCCCACGTCAGGCTCCCGGTGCATGGAGCCTGCTTCTCCCTCTGCCTGTGTCTCTGCCTCTCTCTCTCTCTCTCTCTGTGACTGTCATAAATAAAAAAATAAATAAAAATAAAAAAATAAAAATAAATAAAAAATTGTTTTAGAGAAGTGCGTATGAGGGGCCCCTGGGTGGCTCAGTTGGTTAAATGTCTGCCTTTGGCTCAGAGGCTCAGAGGCTCTGGTCTTGTGATTCCAGGGGAGGGTCCTGGGATCGGTCGCGCTATGTGTCACGCTCTTGTCGTTGCACTCCCTGCTTAGTGGAAAGTCTCCCTGTGCCTGTCCCTCAGCTTGTGTGTTTGTCTCTCCCTCTCCCTCTCTCTTAGGTGCGTGCACACCCTCTCTATTAAATAAATAAAATTTAAAAATTTTAAAGTGCATATGCGTATCTCTTTCTCTAGTTCAGGAGTGTTTATTTTAGGATTTCTGTCATTGTGAAAAAAAAATCTCAATGTCCATCAATAGTCACTTCGCAGATAAATTAAGTACACTTATGTAGTGGATTAATTTGCAGTTGTTAAAAAGATAAGCTCGATCTGTATTATTAAAAAGGAAAGGTGTCCAGAAGTCAAAAAACAAGTCAACATAACATAGTCCCATTTTCACAAAGGAAATAATGTGTCTTTAAAAAGTCTGGAAGGCTATTTATTAACAGTGATTATTTCTATGTATTAGATTATGTGATTATGGGTAAGGCAAAAAATGGGATGTATTTTATTTTAAAATATATGTAAACTTTTATATTTTTGAGCTTTTTACAACATTCTTTGTTTTTATAAATAAAATCTTAACATTTTGGAAAAACTATATATGGCTACATAAATATATTTTGCCTCTTGGCAATCAGTGTCTTGTACCAAAAGGCAGTAGCCCTGAGCCTCATTATTAAATTGTAGGCCAAAAAGAACCCTTGAGACTTATAATATTTATAAATAACCAGTGGAGAGGGGTCCAGATATACTGCTTATTAATTATAGACATAATGAAGAATGAACACATGTCCTACTGTCCTCAACTTCTAAGCAGCCTGGAGGTGAGTATGAAGGGAAGGAGTGGATTTATGATAGGCAGAAATATGATGAGACATTCAAATGTGTGAATTCAGATATGTGCTGTAGACTTTTTTTCCTGATAATCAAGGTGTCAAAACAAATCATTTCACTCTTTGGTGATCCTTACTGTTATGGTTTTCCAGCAACCAAAGTCTGTTGGCTGGCTCACTCTCTTTCTCTTTCTCTCCTTCCTCCTTCTCTGTCCTTCTCCCTTTCTCTCTTTCCATCTTTCCTTCAACAACGGCCTCTTCTCTCACTTGCTACAGAATTGTCACTGCTATTCTGGTATAGGAGCAACAACCATGCCCTAGTACCCAGGGATGTTTCAAGCATACACATACTAGGCCTTCTGTAACGAGATTCTTTTCCTTGGAAATGACCCCAAGTCCAACTTACCAGGCTCACATAATAAAAGACATGGCATTGGCTCAGGTAAATGAAAAGTCAAAGAGGTAGTGCTGGTTTCATGCAAATCTTGAACCAGCATGTTTACTGTGACTCTAATCTAAGAAGTGTTATAAAGTCAGCTTTACTATTGGGCTGCTTATGAGATCTTCTATTCCCAAACTCCCAGCTCTATACTTTCCCTCTTGGTGGCATGGTGTCTGTCCCATTCCAGTCTTCATGTCCTCTCATGCAGTATTCAAGGCTACAGTCTCATAAGTAGCTCTTGTACTCTCATGCAGTATTCAAGGCTACAGTCTCATAAGTAGCTCTTGTACATTTTCTTCTAGGATTTGCTTGCGTTGAGGAAAATATTGGGAGCAGAAATGGGGGATGGAGAGGTAACCAGCAAAAGTCTCTTCTATCAGTAGTTACCTTCTTTCTTTGCCAAATATTTAGTTATTCCTATTCAGAGTTCAGTATGGGTCCTTATTTCTGATTTAGAATCCCAGTTCTGGGTTGGTTGTTTAATCTTTGAGACTTTTTTTTAAAGGAAGTAGAATGATGCCAAATCCTGGCTTCTCAAATTAGCTGTATGTCCAAAATGAGTTACTTTTTATGTAGGATGGGTAGTAAAAAATTTATACCAATGTGATGGCATCCATTGGAACAGAGGTTAGTAAACTGCCTCTAAGGAGTCACATGGTATTTTAGGCTTTGCAGGCCACGATACTTTGTCAT